CTGCCTCTCCAGAGGCACTCCAGGTAATTCCTCGGGAAAGACATCCCGAAACTCCTGCACAACCGGTACACTACCCATATCTGTAGTGGTCTCAACCCTCGTATCGGAGATATAAGCCAAGAATCCCGAACAACCCTAATGAAGCAATCTCCTATCCCTCGCAGCTGAACAGATGGTTGGCCCCTGCGAGGCCCTCTCTGCATGAATGACCAGTTCTCCCCCACTTGGGGTTCGAACCCTCACCAGCTGGCGCTCGCAATCAATCATGGCCCCATTGGCCCCCAACCAATCCATCCTAACGATCACCTTCAGCCCTCGAAAGGGTATCAGGACTAGATCAATACGAAACCTCTCTCCGAGCACATTCAGGACACAGTCCCGATACACCCTCGCAGCACTCACGGTACGGTCATCCGCAATCTCCACCTCGAGTGGGGAATCCAAAGTTCCCGGCATATGCCGAAACTTCTGGCTAAGCGCAAGAGACACAAACGATCGTGTAGCTCCCGAATCGAACAAAACATGAGCCGACATACCATTGACCAAAAAGGACCCTATACATACGCACAATGTACACATAAGTAGTGCAAATAAATATAGAGTAGAGAAGAATATACACATACCAGCCACGACGTCTGGCTCTGCCTGAGCCTCCTCGGTAGTCAACTGAAATGCACGACTCTTCACCGCTGGAGCATCCGCCTTAGCAGGACGGCCATCTGTGATCCTCAGTGTGGCGGGCGCAGGCACCGCCACCGATCCTCCCCCTCCCTGCAACCTCGGACAATCGCCCTGTTTGTGGCCGGTCTGGTTGCAGTGAAAACAAATCAAGCCCTTCTTGGGGCAATCCCTGATCACGTGGCCCGACTTGCCACATGCATAACATCCCGAGCATGCTGTCTGACAAGCCCCACTGTGTGGTTTACCGCACTTGGAACACCGGCCACGACACTGCTGGCCCCTGCTGGAAGGATCCGAGGTCTTAGGCTTTTTATCCTGACCCACTATTGTTTGTGCCTGCTCAGGCTTCCGCTTGGTGCAGAAGTCCAACTCGATTTCCTGCTCACGAGCCTTCTCCACCATATCGTTCAGGGTTTTGCACCCTGTAAAGCTCACAAACTCCCGAATATCATCCCTCAGCATGGAATGATACGTCTTCCGTCGCATATCCTCATCCGTAGCGTACTGTGGGATCAACAAAGCTCATTCCCTAAACTTGGTGGTGATCTCCGCCACAGTCTCGGTAGTCTGCTGAAGGTCATGAAACTCCCTCACAAGCCATTGCACCTCAATAGGTGGTGCAAACTCCACATCGAATCGCCGAACAAACTCGGCCCATGTCATCTCAGCCACACCGATTGCTCCCACCTGGCTGGTCACCTCTCCCTACCAATCTCGGGCTCTGTCTCTCAGCATTCATGAAGCAAAACCCACCTCTGCCGCATCAGGGCAAGAACTCGTGCGCTAGGCGTTCTCAATATCTGCCACCCAGCCTCGGCTAACAATGGGGTCCCTGACCTTGAAAAACTGCGGTGTCTCGTACGTCGTGAACTCCCGGAACGAGGGAGTTCGGGCCCCGACCTGGCCCGCAATAATCTAGGCTCTGAATGACCTGAGCCTCTCCTCTATAATCTCCATCATACCCTCCTTGACTATCCCAAAGATCACTGGGGTAGTGTCAAGGAAGCCCTTTGTCACCTCGACTGCAATGAGCTCACGCAGCCTCTCATCAATGGGCTCAGTACTGCTGCCCGACCCAGATCCAGATCCCGATCCTGATCCTGAGCCCCCTATACCCAATCGTGTCACCACCATGCTGAACTGAAATGTCATAAATCATAATGATCACGGTACATAATTGGAGGATTCCCTCACACCGGTCCTCCTTAGAGATTATAGATCTAACGTTGGTTCGGGTACAGGTCATGTGTTTCCAGTAGTACTAGCCCAATACTACCTTCCACACCTACTTGTATCCTCCCCAAGGCTCTACCTACTAACTCTAATTCGTCCCAAAAATAAATCATATCCCACAGACTATCACATATCTCAAATCCCAGGCTATCCTAAGATTTGCTCTACTCACATGAATCAGACCAATCATAACAGGTTGTCTTTATGCATACAATTATACACAGAAAAGGATCAAATAGACTTTCGAATAAGAGATTCTACCCTATGACCACAACCAAACAAGGAACAGGAAGTAAGGCCAAATCTATCATTCTAAGGCTATAATCTCCTAACCGTATACAATTTTAAAAGCATACACATAGCAAGATCCATACAATTATCATAACTCAAATATCAGTATAACATGGCTAATCATATTGGGGAACTACTTACATGGCTCGGCCGATCACGCCCGTTGCACTCTCATCTTTTCCACTCTTTCAAAGTTTGAACTTTTATTTTATTTTTGAAAACAATTTTACCATTTCCTTAGTTTGAGTCCTGACACACCCGAGAGTGTGCCTGAATCCCTCAAACCAAGGATATGATACCAACTTGTAACAACCCAAATTTTTCAAAAGAAATTTTTCATTTTTAATTAGACAAAATACTTTCCAAAAATCATGTAATCCCAAATACAATTGTTTTCAAATTCATAAAAACAACAATTTTATTTCAAAACATCAGAGAGTCCCATAATAACGTTTGAGAGAGAATGCACGCCGCGCCATAAAGCTTTGCCCTTGCCCTTGGGCTCAGATGTACCTAAAACAAATCCACAAATTGTAAGCTAATGCTTAGTGAGTTCCCCAGAGCATACCCCACACACAATCCACACATCACATATCATATTAGCTATAAAAGCCACATATATCACATAAGCCATGCATAAAACATATAAGGATGTCATGGGCTCATCCCCAGGGTCTTAATCCAGGATGCCATGGGCTCCCCACATGGTCCTACACCTAAGTTCCATGGGCTCTCCCATGGTCTTTAATAGGAAAGCCATGGGCTCTCCACATGGTCTTACATCCGGTTGCCATGGGATCTCCCATGGTCTTTAGTAGGAAAGCCATGGGCTCTCCACGTGGGCTTACATCCAAGTGCCATGGGCTCTTCCATGGTCTTCGATACAAGCATACCACATATACAACCAGCAATCACATATCATAAAATGGGCTGGCCTTGGTGCCTTAGTCCCATTGGTATGGTGAGGAGACTCACCTCTCAAATGCTGAACTGACAAGCAAAGATCAGAAATATCCCACGAACTGCTACAACTCAACTGCCTATAATCATCATGTGATTAACTTGTCACAATCCCGAGATACCATAATTATCCTCAATGTCAACCCTGGTCAACCCGGGTCAAAGTCAAGGTCAACAATCCATGTTGACCTCAACTTGTCGAGTGCATCCAACAACTCGTCGAGTTAACTGAATAATTCTTCAACTCGCTGAGTTACCTAAGTGACTCGTCGAGTTCATCAAATATCCAAAAAACCTAGATTCCATTCTGACAAAAACTCTAATCCTTCACTACACTAATTCAGAAACTCAAAACGGGTAAACCCCACCCCGACTCGTCGAGTCAACTAAGGGACTCAGCGAGTTCCTTCAGTCCCTTTTTGTGTTCAGCCCTTTTTAGTGGGGTCTAAGGTCCCAAGCTTCAGATCCAACCTCCCCTAATGCAGTTACCATGTAAAGTTGCAAACTTTACGTGCATGCAAGGTCTTCCAAGGCTATAACATCAAAACGAAGCTTCCTACAAGGTTTTTATGCATGGAAAGGGCCTAATCTGGATAAAGTAAGCAACTTTATGTCCTTGGGGACCTAGAGAGGTCCAGATTTGGAACCATATCCTTGTGATAAGTCCAGATCCGAGTATGACCCCATTTTGCACCAAATGTGACCATATCGTTTCATGAAATGGGATCTAAGCAAATAGAGATCAAGGTGGTAACTTTTTACCTCTAAATGGATGCTCTAAACTAGTATATGTCGGATCCCAAGCCTTCTCCTCTCTTCAAGCTCCTCACCCTTCAAGTTTCCTTCTCAAAAGCACAAGTTTTACTCTCTAAGACTCACACACACTCAAGGAAGCTCAACAATGCGACTAGGGTTTCTTTCTGGGATGCAAGGACGATGAGGGAGGCTACAAATTAGCCATAAGTCCTTTAAATAGGGTACAAACCCCTGAAAATTAGGGTTTCTCTCTACAACGCCTACTCGTCGAGTCGGGCCTTCCGACTCGTCGAGTAGGGTTTAAATTCCGCGTCCTCATAATAGCCTATACTCGACGAGTTGGAGCTCCCCAACTCGCCGAGTCCATGCACAAAACCCTAAAACTTACATAAATTAAATAATACCTGCAACAGGTGTTACACTATAGCATCGATTAAGAGAATCATTGAATAATCTATTTTTAAAAACATTTTTTTTCATATATATATATATATATATATATATATATATATATATATATATATATATATATATATATATATATATAAAGCAAGTATGCTAATTTAAAAAAACCATTCACATTGTTTAAACAATTCTCCTAAACTCAAGTTATATGTATCTTTTGTGTTGTTTTCTATTACATATGATCTTTTTTTTAACAACAAATCTAATACACTCCCAAATTCATCTATGTCTCAAACAAAACTTGAATTATCGACCTCAATGTGGGAGGACAACACTTGTGATACTGCAATAATATATATATATATATATATATATATATATATATATATATATATATATATCAAGGTTGCAAAAATCGTTCGACGGTAGCTTGGCGGTCGACTGAGGTTAAAGGATTAATCGATCTCGACGGGGATTAATCGGGGACCATTAATTATTAATAAAAAATTAATATAAAATAAGCAAATAACCATACAAAAAGTCATAAAATAAGAAACCATACAAAAAGTCAGAACTAGTATTTAAACATTTAAGTCATCATCCATTACAAGTCCAAAATAAGTTTACTAATAATAAAAACACACATTTTTATACATTTAAATGTCCATATTCTTCTAATCTTCAAGTTCTTCCACTATTTTAACTCCATCCGACTCATATTCATCTTCTTCAAACACTTGCTCCTCATTCTCGGATTCGAAATCTTCATCGTAAAGTTCTCTCGTTGTTGAACTTTTATGGGGTACTTGAGTATCATTAGTCTTGAGAGCTTCATCAATCGCTTCCATAACTGATTCGGGGTCAACTTCATCTCCATCACCGTCATCTCCATCTATAATCCATTCTTGAGCCGAGTGAGAATCATTTGCTAAAAGCACTTCCAAAGTCCTATCTTTTCTCTTTTTGTTTTTTTTCCATTAGATTAGCATTGAATTGAACATAAACAAGATTGTTCAATCTATTTGTCTCCAATCTATTTCGTTTCTTCGTATGTACCTATAAAAGTATACATAACAAAAGCTTAAAAACATGTTTGATATTTAAAGATTATAACTTTATAACTAACCGCTTCAAACGTGCTCCAATTTCTTTCACAGCCCGATGAGCTACTAGTTAAAGAAAGAATCCGCATTGCAATTTTTTTCAAATGAGGAGTTGAGCCGCCAAAAAGTCCCCACCATCTTGCTATAATATTAAAGCAAAAAAACATTATTAAATTGATAGATATAAAATTCTATTATTTTATAAATTACTAAAATAAACATAAAGCATATTACCCGGATCAAAGTCGGCATTGTTCACCATACAACCTTTAATTGCAAGACCTGCTCCAAATCTATCAACTTTTTCCTTGTATTTTGGCAAATCAATCATCACGACTTGTCTTTGCATCTCAAAATCTTCAAAAAGTAATGCATCAAAAAATTCAAGAACCGCATCCATTACGTCGGGATCATGTTGGAGTTGGGAATCATTATAATGGTAATAAGGATTCAAAAGATAGGCCGTCAAATGTAATTTTGAATCTAGCCTACCTTTCATCTTGTTGTTTATGATATCTATAATAGGCTTGTAAGCTTTCTCGTTGCCACCCAAAGCTTTCATAATTTCTTCTTTTGCTACTTTAAGCTCACCATACACAAACCCCATTGAGGGCTTCCAATCCGCATCAACCATTCGAAGGACTTTCACCAAAGGAGAAAACACTTTTAAACATTGGGTCACATCGGCCCAAAATTGGAGACTTGTCACCATTCCATATGAGGCTCTTCCTTTAGGGGTACCGGAAAATTTGCATTCCTCCCACTCGTTACTAGAGAACATATTTTTTAGTTGCTCCTTCTTTTCGGATAAACTTTATAATGTTAGAAAGACGGAAGCAAATCTCGTGACTCCCGGTCGGATAATTTCCCTTTTCTTGCTGTGGTTTCTCATCATTTCCAAGGTTTTGTGGTGAGCATAAATGAAGATGGTTAATTTCTTTGCTTGATCTAAGACTTTCTTAAACCTTGGAAGTCCACCGATACCTTGAAAAAAAAAAGATTACATAACAAATTTAATGAATTATAGTATAAAATAAAAGATGATAAAAACTAAATTGGTAAATAATGTAATAAAAAAATATAAATACCTTCGAGCATAAGGTTAATTGTGTGTGTCGCACATGATGTCCAAAAAATAGTTGGTCTTTTCTATTATAGTAACTTTGCAGCTGCCATGTTATTCGTGACATTATCGGTTACAACTTGAACAACATGATCGGGACTAACTTGTTGAATGTAAGATTCCACATAATCATATATGTATTGGCTTGTATGTGCTTCATTGGAACATTCTTGTGATGATAAAAAAACGGTACCCATTTTTGATTTACACATAAATTCATAATGCTCCTTCTCTTTCTATCGGACCAAGCATCAGTCATGATCGAGCATCCAATCTCTTTCCATTCTTCTTCGTTTTTTTTCAACAAATTTTTTGTTCTTTCAACCTCATGCTTTAGGAGTGGGTCACTCAAAGAATACCTGGTAGGAGGTGGGAGCCCTGTTCCAAATTGTCCAACAACCTCCAACATCATTTTGAAGCTATCATCTTCCAATGCATGAAAAGGAATTGCAGTTTTATATGCCCACCTACTAATGAATTTTATGACACGCTAAAATTCTTTCTTTCCGAACAACATCGTTAAGATCAACTTTTTTTCCCTTTCCCTTCATAATTTCAGGGTTTATTTTGTTTGCATATCCATCCGTGGGTCCTATAATATTTGGTGCTTTCAACCCCAAAGAATCTTCTACTTCATCCATTTCAACACTATCATTTAACACTTGTGCTGCTTCAGCTCTTAAGGCCTCGTCATGTGCGTGTTTAGCTTTCTTTTTTATTTTCCCTTCGTTGATAAAATTTCACATTTTCAATTGATCATCTTTTGTAGAGTTTGGACATCGACTAACATTTCCCGTCACATGACCAATATGTTGTTTCAATCTAGTAACCCCCCCGGTAAACACTTTTCCACACAAGTTACATTTCACTGTATCCATCTTGTTTTTATCCGGGCAAAAACCATATTCCCAACCAATATCATCTGAGTTCCGTTTATGAGCACCGATGGAGGTTGATCCCACCGATGGTGAAGTCGAATTTTTAGATGTCATGATTGAACACTGTTATACATACCAGAAAAATACATCAGAAATACACAACATAAATCAAAAATTTTCAGCAGACATCAAAATATCACAGCAAAAATGTCAATCTAATGTTTAGCTGTAATCTTGAAGAAGCACTCGTAGGCATCAAAATATCCAAATTACAGATTGCGACTATATTTCAATACAACACAAACCTTGTTTCTAATATATTTATAATAAATTAGTAAATTACTAAGAAACAAAGAAATTTATGGTATACACTCGTGATTAACAGCAAACAGGAAGCCATGAATATTGGCTTTTACTTGTTCTACATAAACCCACATGGGCGGCGACTATATACGAATATTAAATTCAACAATTAACAAATGTAATAAATTCTATGCAAGATTCTAAAACGAAAGAACAAATCAATTTTATAACATTATCGGAAGTGGACTTTCAATGAACAAACAAGAACTCAACCTTTTTTGGGAAAAAAACGAACTCAGATTAAGAAATCGCTAACCTGAAATACGAACGTCGCTATCCCTGGAGGTTCACCGGTGGCCGCTGGAGGTTCGTCGGAGAATGGCGGGCGCCGGCATCAGCTGTATCGTCGGGGTAGGCTTGCGTCACTTCAATTGTTGAGAGAGAGCATAAAAACGGCTGATGAATATGACGATTTTAGGGTTAGAATAATTTTTTGGAATTTTTTTGGAGCCTTTTTTTTAATTTTGACCAACTTTGACCTTTGACTTATTTTGACTTTCGTTGACCGTCGTTGACCGCCAAGACCGCCAAGCCCGTCGTTGACCGAAATTGACCAATTAACGCCAAAGACCCCTAATCCTAATCGGTTGTAGAACGCCGAGTGATTAATCTACGATTAATCCCGATTTCTACAACCTTGATATATATATATATATATATATATATATATATATATATATATATATATATATATATATATATATATATTAACATTCAAATGTGCATACATGCACATTCCAAAAAAAATCGTCTAATCTTTCTTTTGAACTTACATATAGCTTAGATGCACAATTTTGGAGGATATTAGCGATTTTGATTTTGAAAAATGATGAGCGGATTAAAAGTTCTCGAGTTTTCGCAAATTTTTAAGTTATCAAATAACTCTCTCTCTCTCTCTCTCTCTCTCTCACTCACTCACTCTCTCTCTTTGTGTG